TTTCCATCCAAAGTTGCGAATTTAACTTATGCACAAAACTGGAATATCGCATAAAACATTTGCGAACAAGCATCGTTTCCATCCAACAAGTCAAAGAGAACAAAATCGCCACTTCCTGATAAACTGGCACTATAAATCACTAAGAAAAGTATTCATATTATGAATACTTTTTTGCGAATTAAGGGATTTTTATTCGAAATTTGGCATTTCCATCACTCGTTTCTCATGCGATACTTCAAAATGCACATTAAAATAGGGTGATGGAAACATAGCTACTGCCGTGTGAAAGGAACTGGACCGGACAACGTTCTGTAACGTCGAGAGTTCAGTAACTTGCTTGGATGTAATCTGTGTGTCATCTGTGTTCCATAAATAGTGCTGCTTCAAAGTCTCAATTTTAAATCTGGGTATGGAATAATAGGAATTGTCATATTGCTTAAATTTGATCATTAAACTTTATACGGCTCTGATTTAACTAATTAAACGTGAGCACGTCATGTTTCAAAATAAAAACGCAGTTAGCAATCACCAAATAACACACATTTATGAGTTCATTAGAAACCCACATCTTCCATGCAGAGACAGTGCAGAAAGGGAAGAGGAGGTGCAAAGACAGGAAATTAGGATCAACATTGCAGTCAGAAATTTAAAGGGGAAGGTGCACACACAGACAGGCATATCAGGTACACATTTGAACATTTTTTGTGTAATTCTACATATGAACATTTACTTTCTATATCTGTTACATAGGCATACTTCAGAAAGAAGACCAGGAGAAGACAAATGTCCTCCAATAAAAGCTGAAGACAGAAGAATCATACTATAGGGCCTATATGACCAAATTTATTTTTTGTATTGTTTATCTTTCTGAGAAAAAAAATGGCATAAGTCACAATGTATCTCTTTTTTCTGGGGAACACATACTGTACCTCTTATGTTCTTACTGTATGTTTGTTTATGTTTTTCAAAACTGACAAATTACACATTATTACTAGTTGTCTTAGTTTGTGTCTCTCTCTTATAAGAAGGATCCACATAGTTTGCATGTGTTATTTAAAGTGAAAGTAAAAACAGAAGTAGCCACAAACATCTAGAGCTGAAGTTCTTTGTAGTTCTACAGGTGATGTGAAAAAACCACCCTAGGCACTTTGTATTGCTCATCATGGAAATCCATACAGAATATTCTTATTTAAAGCTTGTCCATTGCCTTGATGGGTAAAACTAATTGCACAGACATGTATTTTCTTTAGGCCCATACATCTGAGTGTGTTAAAGTGTCCAGTGCACATTAATTGCATAGACACGTATATTTTCTCCTTTTTAAAATTTGGTGTATTTTTCCCCCCCAGAACATTCACCAAAATATGTCGATTTAAATTTGTCAATTTCATTATGCAACAAACATCTGGAAATTATACATTTCATATGAGGCTTTTTTTGCATGACACTTTTAGTGTCCCTTAAACCTATAAACATAATTATAAGCTTGTTTGTTGTCTGAAATGTTCGACTACCTTTTTACCTAAAAAGATCTTATAAAAGACATTATAAAGACTGTTATATCCTATAAGCAATACACTATGTACATAATGCATTTTGCCCATAAAATCTTGAACTTGAAGTTATAAGTAATCAGCAACAGTTATCATAAATGTTTTCCCATTTTAAGCAACATGTAGTGCTTGAAGCACCAACAAAGAGCCATGCTTTCACGTAGAGGCGTGTATTGTTGTTAAACTGTAGCCAGGCAACCTCCCCAAGTATGGTGTTCCCCAGGGGTGTAGAGTATCACTGGTGTCTTGATGCTTCACAATATGTCAGACAAAGGAGTTAGCAAAGTCATTGCCTTTTTATGTGCGGAGGTGCAATTCCAATGAATGAAACTGACAGACAATAGCATGAGTGAATGAATTACAAATTTCAATGCCAGACAAAGCCTACACATCCTTGAAATAATGGAACCTTCAATGCACTTAAGTGCTGTCAGCATTTAATCTGGTAAGTAAACATACAGACAGTGATACTTTTGGCATAATTGCAATAGTTTGACTTAACAGTTAAGTACTTGTGATTTGCAGATCATTCATGCACAATTTATACAAAACATAGTGCATGTAAAAAAAAAAATGCTGCTTGTTTCACACCAAATGCTAATGTTCGCTTGGTCAAGTCGTCTTGAATTTGACCAGCTTGTAGCCTAATAGCCTTTGTCACACTGCTTATTGTAAGCAAACTGTGCAGATAATCTGACACATGACCATGCTATTCTCTGCTCATTGCCAAACCAATTTGCATGCCAGTTTTTATCTGAAGCTCTAGCAGCATGCCGCAACTATTTAATCTTGAGCTGGACAAAAGCTCATGCGATTGCCATCGACTCACCGGGCAGTATATTCATACCATGAATTAATTCCATAGCCTACCAACTGCGTTGACAGTTGAAACTAACTTGTAACATTGTGTTTTGTAAGGTCATTTATGCATCTAGCAAACTTTTGTTACCGTTTATAGCAAAAGCTGCAGTATGACCTTTCTTTCTTTCTTTCTTTCTTTCTTAAAAAAGTTGGAGTTAATGGTAAATGGTTGTGGCATGAAACAGAATACGTTCACACCTTTAGTCAAGTACACTGACACCCTCAGCAACTTTAGTCAAAAGAACGCATGAATAATTTATGTTACTCACAGTTTTGATCACTGTTTAATTGTTTTGTAAAACCTTAGCAAATAGTTTAAACTATTATAGGCCAAAGAGTCAACACAGTAGGATACTTTTGACATTTAGCGCATCATGACTGCTTTTCTTTGCTATACTTGCAGCCAGTGCCTGTCCTACACATCTGGGGGCCCCAAGCAAAACTTTGTCAGGGGTCCCTGTCAATGTGTTCATAAAAAACCCAAAATGACCCTTTCAGAACAGAAAAAGTAAGAAAATTACAAACACTAAATACAATTTAGTCTACTAAATTAATAAAATATTCAAATATAAAAATAAAACACTGCATAGTCTTCATCGTATGGATTAAATATACACTGATTAAAATGAGTAAAGTTATTCAGTGAAGAGAAGTGAATGATTCTTTAATTTTTTTTATTTTTTTTATTTTTATTAATATTTAATGACAGAGTGACAGCAGCAGGTTTTTTGTGGTTGTTGTTTGTTGGCTGCTGTCGCTTTAAGACCGAATGCACTCATATACAGGTGCATCTCAATAAATTAGAATGTCGTGGAAAAAAGCTTTTGATTACTTTCTCAACTGTTTATGTTCACATAACTCGCAGCTTTTAATTGGAAACTCATCAAGACAGACATTTTTTGTGTATTTGTCAGTTGAAGCGCATACCTGAAGCCCAAAGTAGCTTATACTTGCCTATGTTTCGTTTTGCCTCAGATCGCGAGCATAGAAAGCTCTTTTGCAGGTCAATACATTTGTAACTCTTTTTTTACAGTGTGTGTCCACTGGCACAGAGCAAGCTGGTGGTTTGCGGCCCTTAATCAACTTGGAGTACCGACACTGCTGTCAGCTCAAGCACATAGGCTGTGTCCGAAATCGCATACTCTCTTGAGTAGGTACTTATTTTGAATAAGAAATTATTTCCTAACATCTAACAAAGTATGTTCTGTGTAGTATTAATTTTATGTTTTTTATTTCTTGCTATTGTGTTTCAGTATAGAGAAACATTATTCCCCTATCATGTTTTTGCAAGGTAAGTGATTACCCATAATTTTAAATAATCTGAAATCACGAAAAGTGTGACACATTGCATAACAAATGTAAAAGATAATGTAGTCATCCTGGGTCCAAAGGTGCATGATTTATATAGTTTAGCAGTAATATTTAAGTTATATGTATCAAGGGAGAGCGCTGATTCAGACTAACAGCATGATTGGAAGTTGCTTTTATACAGTTCAATAATCAAAATGTTAATATTTAGTAACCTAGATTTTACTGCCAGTTACTGTTGTGTTTTTGCTCCACCAACAGAAATAAGAATCAAACCGTTGTGCGTCTCCAAGCAATAGACAGTAGTGCCATTAATGAATGGATCATTGCTTTTAAACATTCAATAACTCACTCATTCAATAACTCACTCATAAAAAAGTTCAAGCAGAATAATAAGACACTACAGGTTGTTAGTAATCAAATCAGAAACCTCCCTCTCTCTGCACTACAGAAGTTGCATTTGAAGTAGTAGTATTTAGTCTGTATTTACATTGCAAATATACTTGCATAAACGAATAACGAATGATGCTATCTACGGGCATAACAATGTAACAGTGCAGCTAAAGTCACCTAAAAATAGCCACTACTAATGTACAGACTTGTCTGTCTGGAACATGCAAACACAGGAGGGAAACATACTATACTGTTGTGCTACTCTGCTGCACTCTAGTGGGCAAATCAAATATTACAATTGTTTTCTGTTTGTATCCAATAAAGGGTTGTTTTGGAATGTTGCATTTAGCATAGTTTTGGTTGATGATCTGGGGATTATTAAGAACAGGTTCAGTCCTGAGAAAATGCACACAATGAAGTGGATTGTTACCATGATGACAAAGTACTTTTCTGATTTTTTTTAACTTAAGGATCTAAACTATTTTAACTGCATTCTTTTTATAGATCAGACAGGAGGAGCAAATGTACCTTCAGCCAATGTGCCCATGGCACCTGGTGAGAGTTGAATTCAATATATTTCACAACCTTATAAAACACATTGACAACTCTTCAAAGACTCAAAAAAAAAAAATATCAGTGCAGTGACATATGGGTTGCTTCTTCCTAGATCAACATGTTTTCATTCTCTTCACTTCATGTATCAGATCATATGATCTGTACGGGTACAGATATCTGATAGTTTATCAGATTTTCTTTTTCTCCCTTAGTATATACCATTGGCCCTCATCCAGGAAATGAAGTTTATCCTACACCAGCAGCAGGTAAAGACATAAACATGAATAATGTGTATAGAGTTCACTGTAAGCATGTTCTTCTCTGCTGCAGGTTATATGCCACCTCAGGTCCCAATGCTCATGCCAGTCCCAGAAAGACCGCTGGGCTGTCCACCAGGTTTAGAGTACCTGACCCAGGTGAATAACAATACTCTCACAAATAAACATTTACATTCACTATAGAGAAAAATTATTGTTCATATATGAACCTTTCTCTAGAATCTGTGTTATAGGAATATAGGAATGGGAATCATGAAGAATTTAATGGTTCCGATTCAGTTCTTTTAAACAATTCCAGTTTCAGTTCCTATATATATAAGTACAGATGGACAAATAATACACTCTATGCCTATTTTCATGTCAGTTCTACAATGCTGCTTATCACAGGTTGACCAGCTTCTAGTTCATCAGAAAGTGGAATTAATGGAAGGTAATGTTTGGCCACTGATTGCGCTAGAAACAATTTTCTAAACCCCTGTCACGTGACTACAAATGCTCTCTTTCTCTTACAGTTCTCATGGGATGGGAGACCAATAATCAATATGTGGTGAAAAATAGTTTAGGACAGCAGGTGTTTTTTGCTGCTGAGGAGAGCGATTTTTGTACTCGCATGGTCTGTGGACCAGTGCGCTCCTTCCTGCTTCATATCCAGGATAACATGGGACAGGAAGTGATGACTTTATCCCGCCCCCTTAAATGCGGTAGTTGTTGCTTTCCATGCTGTCTGCAAGAGGTACAGTACAAAATGACCACTTCACCATTCATACTGTTTCGTGCATATTAGCCCAATGTTTTGCATCCTGCTTTGCATTCCTGTATACCCGCAAGAAATAAAAATGATAAGTCATTATAAATATTGCAAACATATCTATGTTGCTGTATTAGCATTTCAGTACTGCCTCATATATTTCAGCTGGAGGTTCAGAGCCCCCCAGGCAACCCTATTGGTTATGTAATACAAAGCTGGCATCCTTTCTTGCCGAAATTCACCATCCAGAATGAGAGAAAAGAACCTGTTCTGAAGATTGTGGGGCCGTTCTGTGACTGCAAATGTTGTTCTGATGTTAATTTTGAGGTATGGCGCATACATTACACCATAAATTATACTGTCATGTTCAAAATATAATAATGTAGCAATATAATATAATACAAATGGTCTGGCAATATAAAGCCAATTAAAAATACAAACATGGTTTATAATAATATAATATAATATAATATAATATAATATAATAATATAAAATAATATAATATAATATAATATAATTCTTTTATTCAGCAAGGATGCATTAAATTGATCAAAAGTGACAGTAAAGACATTTACAATGTTGTTTTCAAATAAATACTGTCCTTTGACCTTTTTATGCATCAAATAATATTGAAAAAAAAAAAATGGTATAACAGTTTCCACAAAAATGTTAAGCAGCACAACTGTTTTCAACATTGACAATAATAAGAAATGTTTCCTGAGCACCAAATAAAAATATTAGTGTGATTTCTGAAGGATCATGTGACACTGAAGAGTAATGATGCTGAAAATTCAACTTTGTCATCACAGGAATAACTTAAAATAAATGCAGCCTTGGTGAGGATAAGAGATCCCAAATTTTAAATGGTAGTCTATATTGTATAAAAATGTATACTATTAGATAAAAACATAACTATTTTGCTGTGAATGAGATTATTTTGGTAATGTCATATTTTGTGCTTGCAGAATAAAGTTTAACTGATTTATAAATTAAATTCTACACCATTTAATGTGTCTAACTGATAATCAATCTAACAGTCACATGCTTATTTGGTGCCAGGTGATGTCACTGGATGAGTCCTCAGTGATTGGTCGAATTAGTAAACAGTGGACAGGATTTGAAGCAGAAGCATTAACTGATGCAGACAACTTTGGTTTACAATTTCCAATGGATTTGGATGTGAAAATAAAAGCAGTTATATTAGGAGCCTGCTTTCTTATGGTAAGTAATAGGTACTCTTCATTAATACATTTTTTTTACATTATTTATTAGCTTTCCTATTAAATTTCTAAGAATATTTCCATGTATTTAGTTCTAATAATAAATCAATCATGGTGCAATGAAACAAATGTATGCTTAAAATCTTATTTAGGCTCTAACTGAATATAATTTACATAATTCCAAATTTGTCTTTTTTTTCCCATTTTGAATATACAGGATTTCATGTATTTTGAGCACACTCAAAAACAAGAGTGAAACCATCCTGGAGCATTGTTCCACATTTGATTCAATTATGTTTTTTTTTTTTTTAAATACAGATGCTGTACAATTTTCTCTTTAAACTTCTAAGTATCATAACTAAAGATTGAGTGGGTCATAGACATATTTTTTTTCATTACAGCACAGTGTAAAACATCCACTTATCTCACCTAACTAACAATTCTTCCAGTTTTATAACAGAAGTACAAACTTTTTCATACACATTTCTTCTTGTCACTCCCCTCTTTATTTTTTTTTTTCAAATAAAGAAAGGTGTGTTACCATAAACCTGCTGTAAATATAGCATGTCAGCCATCTAGAGCATGTCAATGTTTAACTAATCCATAAAATGTTGATTTAAGGATTCACAATGACCATGAATCAAAAAAGCAGGATGACACATTTAAAGAATTCAAGATAAAATGTGCCGTTCTGTTTTTAGATTTACTAGTAGTTCATGACATTATTGTGTGTCCTGTGCATTTCTGAAGGTCTCACTTTATCAGTGTGCTATTTTAAGTCACACATTCCCTTCTGCTCGACCCCCAGCCTTTCTTATACTTACAAGGGCACAAGTTAGCTTTACAACAGATGTATCACAAAAGATACTACATGTGAATTTGTGTGAAAGTGCTGATCTGTGTTTGAATCACAAACTGGATTAGAGTGCAAAAGTATGTATGATGTTACATTGCAAGTTTGTGTTTGTTATTGAGTTTCTGTGAATGTAATTTGATGCATTTGTGGCTTTTTGTCATAAACTAACATGTTTGTCATAAATGAATAACTTCACCTTTGTGTTTATACTTTTGACTGAAAATAAATAACGTTTAGACATCATATTCCGGCTATGAATGTAAATGTGTGTGTGTGTATATATATATATATATATATATATAGACTAACATTTGTTTTTAGGGTACTTGAAACAAGAAGCAAGACTTCAAGACTACACATATTGATCTTTTTGGTACTTGTTTATGATTGATACCATGTTATGATATGAAGTAATACTTTCCATGGTAATAAAACTCTTAGAGAACCAGTTGTAAAGAGATACTGAACCAGATTGTGCGGTCGTTCCTGATGTGAGGAACCAGGACCATTTGTATCTGGTAAACCTGGTTTTCTTGATGACTATCTTGATTGTGTGTGTGTGTGTGTGTGTGTGTGTGTATGTGAGATAACTGATAGAGA